TGGGTTTTCTGACCTCAGCCTCCAGAGCTGCACAATTAGCTTAAACTGGCTCAAATGGATTTTAACTGGACAGAAATTATTTTTTTTTATTTTTCATAAAATATCTAAAGTGATCAAGATCAATTTCTGGCCATTTTCAACCCATTTGGTCCAGTTTACAGCGCTTACGCAGGAGCAAGGCACTGAGAGGCTCAGGATGCATCAGGAATGAGATGAGGCTGCGTCAATGTGCTCAGAAGACCAGTGGGGGACAAAAAAAGACCTGATGCTAAGGACCATACCATTAGGAAAAATGACGCTGGAGGGGGAATCAGAAAGAACCTAATAGTCCATGAGGTAGGATCAAACCACTGTGGACCCCGGGGGAGGGGCTAAATGCCTGATGCTCAATGACGCAGTATCTAATCATTCCTGTGAGAAAGGAGGGGAAAGATGCTGATGCTCAGCAGATAGGAACAAACCACTGCCATGTACAGGGAACTGAGTGGGGATGCTTTAGTGCAAGACAGCATCAAACCACTCTAGGTTACTAGCTAGATAACTAGAGGTAAGGGTAAAAAGTATAGAGGGCCTAATAATTTGTGAGACAGGAACAGGCCAATCTTGAGGTTTAGTGGCAAGGATGCTGTTCTGAGAAATTGGAGCAAACCACTGGGGAAAAGAGGGGAACAGGAAAGGGCTGAAATCTCTTAAAACAAATTTAATTCCCCCCAGTGACATAAAAGAAGATTCAATATTCTGGGAGACAGAGTCAAATCCTGTTTCATGATTTACAATGCTTTCGACATACATTATCTCCTTTCTTCTTTACTCCACCCTGATGGTTGGATCAGACCATCTTTCCACAAAAGCTTCTGCAGAAATTCTGAGCTGCCCCCGAGGGTTGCTAGGCAACAGTGCAGCAGCTGCCCAGCTAACCTTGCCCTTTTGACATTAACCCCTTAGTTTCTGAAAGGAAAATAAGATGCATGAAAAATGAGGTGCAAGTTGAGGCAATTATCAACAAATGCTAGTCAAGGAGGAATTGATCATGTGCAAAGACTTAGAAAATTTAAATGTAGATAGTGAGTGCATGGGAAATAATGGATACACAGAAATGGAAACACCCTTACGCAGTGACCATCCCTCAGGCTTTAAAGAATCAAAGCCAATCCACAGTCAGACCTTTGAGTCTTCCTATGGCATCCCTAACCAGTGCCTCTTGAACATCTTTTGTATCTTTTTTTAAGGTAGCTGTTGTAACTTCCTGGAAAACTTCTCCCATTTTCCTTTTACTCTGGTTATCCATTTTTCATTCAAGCCAAACCTCCCCATTCTGGCCCCATTGTCTGTGTTCTATGTCCTAGAGCAGTGGTTGCTAAAGGCAAACTAGGATTCAACAGCCATATCTAACCTACCGACTATTTTCAAGCAGAACACAAGCTAAGAATGTTTTTTGACATTTTAAAGCAAAGGAAGGGTAGCATGCTCCTTCACACACACACACACACACACACACACACACACACACACACGGCTGCTTCCCTGTCACCAAGGTAGAGCTGAATAAACACATAGAAACCAGTTCAATTCTCAAAGCCATAGCATGCACTGCCTGGCTCCTTCAACAACAAATGCTGAATCTTACGATTCAGCATTAGTTGGGAAAGATAACCGACTCTATAATTTGTGGTCTTTCATTTAAGAGACCTGGGGTATTTTGGAGACTCTGTCAGCCCTTCCTCCACATCCACCTTACTAGTATGTATGGGAAGGAAGTGAGGCCCAGCCTGAGATACAGTGACCGTGCAAACAAGCTAGTTCTTTCTGGTACTGATGCTACAAGGTCCTTAGCTCCCCATTGTGCCTGACTTCATGAGCTCAGGGCTAACTAACCTGGTTAGGAAGACAAAGCCCACAGTGATGTCTGCCAAGCATCCAGTCCCATTTTCCATGGCCTCTGTTGATCCTGGAGCCAACCTTCAGGCTGGACTCAACAGATTCAGGACGAAAATAGGCGCTTGGCCGGGAAGGCTGGCTTTCCACAAAGAGCTCTTTCCCCCAATGGCCAAAGCAAACGCTGCAGGCTGGGGCTAACAGCCAGCCAGCCGCTCCCGACCTCTGCCGGCCAGCACCATGGAGGCCCAGAGTCAACAGTGCACGCACAGGTCTTCTATTTCATTCCTCCTTAATTATTCCAACATCAGATTTCCCTTCAGTGAATCTGAAAATTCAAATAGAGCTGAAGGCAGCTCTCGCCTCTAGGAAAAACTCAGAAACCTTCTACTAACCTCAACTTCAGATTTACTCTCTTCAACTTCTCAGGTCACCTTCTGCAGCCTCAGTTTGAACTAATTGTTCCTGTTTCTTAAGGGAAGGAAGGATGTATGCAGGAATGAGCTAACAGTGCCCCATATTCTGGCTGGCTCACAGGCCAAATGAAGAATCAAAAGTCGGACCAATCATTCTTCCTGAATTAGGTAGCCAGTCTCCTCTCACTGTGAGGAGGGCTTGGGTAAGAGAAGAGCTAGGATTTGGATACTGGGTAAGAAGGAGGGCATGGAGAAAGGAAGAGGGGGAAAGCACAGGAAAATGATAGAAAGGACTATAAGAGACTGAAGAAAACCTTGCATTCTTGGTTTTGTTTTGTAGTACTGAGGATTGAACCCATAACCCCATAGACACCAGACAAGCATTCTACCCCTGAGAAACAACTCTTGTCCTCTTTTTTCTTTTTGTTTTAAAACAGGGTTGAAGTTTCCTAGGGTGGCTCTGAACTCAGCCTGTAGTCCAGGCAAACCTTGAATAATAATGTATAATAATGAATATATAAATTGAATATAATATATAATAAATGTAAATGTGATCCTCCTGCCTCAGCCTCCCAAGTGGCTGGAATTACAGGCCCAGCAAAAGAATGTCTATCTAGCACATGAAATCTCTTTTTAAGCAATGACATGTGATCAATGAGTGACAGTAGGGTGGAGGGGAGTAAACCTAGAAAATGACACTGCATTAGGTATGCTTGACTATACATGTGAAAACTACTCTTCCAATGAATCTCTTTCTTTAATGATAATAATAGACATCTCTCAATAAAAACCAGCCCGTAGTTAATGAGAAATGTATCCCCAGTGATGTTTTATTCCTAAACTGGTCAACAACAGACCCCAGGATTACATCAACAACTCATAGTTTATTGTAAGATATTTTGAATTTTTTTGGGAAACATACAGCTCATAAACTAGTACTGTTGCCTTTTTTTACACCTAATTGCTCAGTAAGTACAAATACACCATCGTTCTTTTCACTTAGGCATGCCATAAAGAAAATTACTGAGTCAATGAGGGTTCAATGAACCAAAAAGTACTGGGCACTTTTGTATATGCACTACATATATTATTCCATGTAATCTCCAGCCATTATGAGGCAAGTCCTAATGTTGTTTCTATTTCTTAAAGAAACTAAGGCTCCAAAGGATTAAATCATTTCCCAGGATACCCAAGCAAGTGACACCACAGTGAGAGCCCAGTTGTGGGAAACTCCAGATAGTGTTTTCTTAACCTG